TGTGTGTGTGTGTGTGTGTGTGTGTGTGTGTGTGTGTGTGTGTGTGTCAGTACAAGTGAAACCCTCTGTGCTTATGGCGACACAGGGTGTCTTTGATCATCGATTCACATAAACACCCTCTTGTGTTCAAAGCCTAAAAGGCTTAGTCCTTTATGGCCAAATGTATGTGTGTGTGTGTGTGTGTGTGTGTGTGTGTGAGACCCTCACAGAAGAAGCATCACCTTTTGATTGACACCTATCCAGAACACCTCACCCCACAGTTTTTTCGGTGTCTCGTTCTGCCCGATGTTTGATATTTGGGATCTCGACAGTGAACTCTGAACTTGTCCGGACTCAGCAGTTTTCCAACCTTTCTTACCATGTTGTTGTGTCTAATGTGGACAAAAAATAATTTTAATTGGTCCAGTATCGAGGGAGAACGCTAAAGTGCAATGTAATCATATCGGTTTTATTTTTAACTAAGCACCGTTAATGTAACTCCACTAAAAGTGCTCAGATTGTTATTATAAGTTAGAATAGAGTTAGAATACGTTAGATTTCTTTCTTGCTCTCAGAGAGACAGAAACTCTGAGAGACATCTCATTACGTGATATTTGCATATTCATGTTCTTTAGAAACAGCCTTTAACGTTACATTCTGGCCCTGAACAACACCTTTTTGTGATTGTCACTTCATTGAAAGATGGAGAGCTTTTAGGAAGTTGGTAAAAAGCCCTCCGACTCTGAGAGAAAGCTTTTATGTGCCCACGTTTTTCTCCTCCTCTCTTTTCCTGCAATCAGTAATTTAAATCTTCTGCTCTGGTCTCCTGGTCGCTGCCCTCACATGCACACGCTCGCACGCATCCCAGCTCTGGCTTTATGTTTTAAAATGTTTAATTGGGGCAATTTTTTGTCTCCAGCCCCTTTCATAAATAAATTTGCCTCGATTTTTGACTTGCCGTGATGTTTTAAAGCGGCTGGTGGAAAGCTGACGGACTAATAGACCAAACAAAGTGGGAGCAGACTAATTGCTGACATTCTTTCTGAAAGTCAATAATCTGAAGCTACTAACAGCTCCCCGCCCACCCCGTCTCTATTAGCTCTCCTCGCTCTGCCCGCCCTGCTCCACTATCTCCCTCCGTCTCAAGCAGTGGAACGTGTTTCCCTAATTGTCGACTTTATTACACGTTTCGCCGTCGTATTAGCGTCGCCGCGGCGTCACTTTTTAGCCTGGAGTCGGTTTCTTTTCCACTCGGCTTGGCATATTTGGAGGCTCCTGGTAATAAAGCATTTCCACACGCCGTTTTGTTTTTTTTGATAGTGGAAGAAGCGAGCGTGTAGCTTTTTAACACATGTTCACTTTGAAAACAATAGCGTTTTCTTTCCTTTTTTTTGCATTTTGCATAATCTGAATATATTTTCTGGCTCTGGGTTTTGTTGAAAGTCAAGTTAATTGCCTGCTTTTTGTCTCTCTCATGAGTGAGGGAGAGAACGAGAGAGAGCATCTCATGGCCTGTGAGTGAGTGTGTGTTTGCATGTGCACTGATGGTGGCGTGTGTGTGTGTGTGTGTGTGTGTGTGTGTGTGTGTGTGTTGTGGTCCCAATAATCACAGAGCTGCTGTGAAATGCTGAACCGGCTGCCTAATAACAGCCTGAGAGCAGATCTAAGTGGCTGGTGGAGGCTGACAGAATAATAGATGAATCGTTGACATTGTTTTTTATAAATCAGGAGTAATTGGAAGTTTAACCAACTCCCTCCGTTTGTGTGTTTACTGTTAATCTTTCTACTGCAGCCGTCGTTTGGAGTGGATCTCTGTTTGTGCACTTCTTGTTCAACATGTTGATCTGTAGCAGCAGAACCTTTTCCTCTCGTACTTTTATAATAATTATCTCAACCCTCTTATTCATTCAAAAGTATTAAAGCAACACCAGAAATACTGTGGACTCAACTTCTATATGATTACAAGTATTCCTGTTTTTGATCATTTACTCCCTTTGAAATACAATTTGACTTTTGGTCCCATCAGTGTCTGATTCACTAAACAACAACCCTTTACCTAAAGAACATGTTTCACTGACACCATAGTGAGAAGCATGAGCTTCTCTTTCACCTGTTTCTGTGTTTTCAGCTGAACTGCTGCTACGTTTCAAACTCAAATCAATTTATTCTTCATTTTTATCCAACATTCAACATTGAAGCTGGCTTCACGATCACACTGAACTAACCAATGTTTACATTTTCTTTATTATTACTTTAGGATTCATGAAACACTGATGCAACCTAAATACTAAGTACTCCTTATACTGCAAAGTACGTGTCGGGTGAGGAGCTCTGACATGTAGCATCGACAGTAAGCGTCACATTTCCTCCGTGTCCCGACAGAACAACGCTCAGGATCTGCGAGCCGAGCGTCTGCGCAGAGCGACGGAGAGGCTGCGCAGCCCCGTGGTCTTCAACAAGGACTCTGCAGTCAGGAAAACTCAGCTGAAGTCCTTCAGCCAGTATGTGGAGAGCCGCCCAGGTGAGGGAACAATGCAACACGCACACTAATACATACAGTGTTTACACAGGGAGGTGTGTTTGCACAGAGCAACACATCTAATTCACACCTGAGAGCAGGTAACCGGCACGTTGAGGGTCAGATGTTCACCAACTCTTCCTTTACTCTCAGTCAACAATTACACTCCAAGATATCAAGTGACACTTACAAAAGAGTGAAAACTTCCTCCGTTCTTAAGGCAAGGCCAGTTTATTCATGCAGCATATTTCAGAAATGAGGTAATTCAAAGCGCTTAAATAGAATAAGAAAATAAAACCATAAAAGCTACGGTGCCGTGTAATCATTGTTTGATTTAATTAAAGGTGGCAGCAAACACAAAGTCCTGAAGGAGAAGTCAGAGCTGCAGTTTTCTGGGAGTTTGTTCCAGATAAAGAAACGCTGCTTCTTCATGTTTACTTTTTAAATCTGGGGACAAAAAGACGACCTGAGAGGTGTGGATGGTTCATGATGTAGCAGAAGATCAGAACCTTTCAGTGCTTATTAACAACCTTTGGACGGACAGGAAGCCGGTGTAAAGTCCTCAGAACTGGACCGAGTCTCAGTGACTCGAGGAGCAGCGCTCTCAATCAGCTGTCTAGTCGATCTTTTTAATCAGACCTGTGAAGACTTCGGTGCTGTATTCGAGTCTACTCAAGATAAATGTGGGTACATGTTTGTACACATCCTGTTGAGACAGAAGTCACTCATAGGCTGAAGTTTCAAGTCAAACCGTCCATAAGCGCTGAATGGATCACCAGTGAATGAAAAACACGGGCTATCAACAAAGAAAGCGAGAAATATGGAAAAACATCACTGAAAGACCTGCACACTTGTCAAATAATAGTCAAAAGAGTGATAGCAGCAATGCTAACTAGCCTCAATAATGACCTCACAGACTCCGTTAACCACCTGGCTTCATGTGCTTCATAAACTTAACTTGTGACTTGTCTTCACTTGGCTTCCTCCGTCCCACCAGAGGTGAAGAGGCAGAAGTCTGTCCCTGAGGACCTGAGGAGGGCCGAGGAGGACCGGGGTTCACCGACGGACCTCGACATCCGCCGACCCTTTGAGGAGGAGGTTTGTCGCTTTCTTTCCCCTCAGTCACTTTATGAAGCTTTTGTGTTGAAATAGATTATATTATTTTACTCATTACATTCTTGATTTCCTGTTTGTCAGCTGACTTCCTGTCTCTCCTGTCTTGTCTTAAATTAATCCATCACTGAGCTCTTCTACCCCCCTCCCCCTCCTCCTCCTCACACACACTCATCCTCACACACACTTTCTCTCTACTGTCCTCCTCT